ATCAATATCTACGTTTATACTAATTTTCATAAATCACAATAAACATTCTTTCCTGCGGCGATACTTTTTATCGAAAATTGCGACAAATCTTTTTTTAACTGATATTTTGTTGTACTTTTTAATCAAGGGTTACCATGTACGTATCTGGCAAATTGGGGAGACAGATTCATGCAGTTAAAATGGAGGCAATTGGATAGCTTTTCCGGGGAAGTCCGTTTTCAAAAACTTGTTATTCTCAACATGTGTCTTCTAGTTGAACCCCGTCTTAGTTGTTTCCGGTAATTGTCTTTTCGTTTGCCAATGCAACGTTTTACATCTTTCAGGTGTTTTCACAAAATCCCAGTAGCATCTCTGAGATGGTATACGGCCGAGGCATCCTCTGATACGGCAGTTATATGTGACCTATTTATGTTGCAAGTGCCGTAAAATTCCTGACTAAAAACATGGGACACACGTAGTTTGTTGTGTTTTCTCAAGCGCTCAGGTATAGCCTGATGGATGGGTGGACGGTTGGTTGGGCAGGGTGACAGAGCAGAGGCAGGCACAGACGTCGTTTGTCACCCCATCCGCTTTCTGTGTCGCCGCCTCGGGACAGAATCAGATAGCCCAGGAGGTAGAGCTGGGAAATGAGTGGAGTCGCTTTAACAAAATCCGAATAATATGTCAGTGCACCTCTTCGGCAAATATTAGGATATGAACCGCTTTGGCAAACAGGTTAGAACCACTTCGACAAACGGGTTATTAGGATCACTTCAACAAATGGGTGCACCCACTTCGGCAAGCAGTCAGGAAAGGGAGTTAAGACAATGTTTCATTGGTAAGTATCCGGTCATCCGGTCATCCGGATAGATTGTCCGAATTTTGTCAACCTCTTCTAGGAGGCGGTGGTGTCGTGCGCACACCACACAGAGGGCGCCGAGATGTTTCTCCACGGTTGTTGTAGTAGACGCCGCAGCGTCTTGATTTATGCCACTTGTGTATGGAGCCTGACTGTGCGAGCTTTGCCCCTTTATCCCCCATTAGGCATGCTTTAGTGTTGTTGTTTTTTGTTTTGTTCTTTTACTTTTTTGTTGGAGGTGTCTTTTTGGTGATGGTAGTTAGAGAGGGGTAGCCTGGGGAGAGAAAGAGAGAGTGCGAGAGAGAGAGAGAGAGAGAGAGAGAGAGAGAGAGAGAGAGAGAGAGAGAGAGAGAGAGAGAGTCT